TCACACACACACACACACCGCGATGTTGAGAAAAATTTCACCCCCACGGGATCCAAACTTGATCTAGAAAGAAAGGAATGGTGGTAGTTATCTTAGCGAAAGTATCAAGGCTGACTTCAGCACAATACCACAGAAATAACGGGTAAAACTGGACCCACAGATGTCACATATTATGTTGCATAAAAAATCAATTTAACCCACGTGCAGTGACATCGATCTGTTTACTTCCAACACACCATGTGTTCACATAAGTTACCAACACACACAACACACACCAGTGAATTTAAAGATCAACAAAAACTCTTAGGGGAGGATCAATGGAACAAAAAACATACCATCTTTTCGCGGGTGCCTGGGCTGCTTTTCCAACATTTCACCAAAGAACAACCAGAGGGATACCTCTTCCCGTCTGAACCCCCAACATCAGCATTTTCTGCTCAGTTTAAAACAACGCAACTTTTTTTTTCTCCCAAAAATCACATGGACATACAACACTACCATGAATCACCTCGACCCAAAAACGCTACCCAAAATCAGGTCGATATAGAACACTACCCAAAACCACTTCGATTTAGAACACTACCCAAAAACAAGGTGAGTTTAGAACACTATCCAAAATCAGGTGAGTTTCGAGCCTACAAATAATTTACTACTACTGTTATCTTGCCTATATACTCCTCTTTACTAAAGTGGACAAATAAAATGAAGCCTGTTTTCTATACTGTTTCACTGTCACGGATGAATTTTCGACACTCTATTTGAATTGAGCCCCCTAACAGACACATATGAAGTGATTTCACTGACAGAACAATTAATTTTTGCCGAGTGGGCGAAGTACATAACGTGAAGAAAATAAGGAGAAAAAGAGATATACCAATATGTATATCACAGCCTAAAGTATATAATTTGAGCCAAGATGTTGCTTTGTAAAACCATGTCACTAAAGTACACCTGGTTTTCTGTCACACCTGATATTTTGTCTCCTCTCTCAGCCCCCAGGCCTCTCCCCTTTTACTCTAGTTATGTGGCCTGGTATCATTACCTATTCGCTCGCACATTGCAAAAATGCAATTAAACGGTAATGGGGTACATTCATGTGAAGTGCACGTTGTGGAAACGTAACTGAAAAGTATGCTCCGTAGAAACAGATAACGGAAAATACTCTGTATAAACGGATGGATTTAAAATGTTCTATGTAAAATCGGGCGACTGAACAGATACTCGGTGAAAACAGATTAACAGAGAATGACTCTTCGTAAAGTGCTTTCTAATTTTTTTTAATTACCCAAGAGCGGAAATCAGTGAACAAAATGGAACTTTTTATAAAGAGACAAAAACAAGAATCACCGACTGAGAATACACACACACACACACACACACACACACACACACACACACACACACACACACACACACACACACACACACATGCAAAAGACGAAAGCAAAGCTTTGGGCCCATGGAAGACAAAAAGTCATGTAAGAGATTTTATTAGTTTTCTTCTGCTTCCTCGTCCTGTTCGTCCTCCGGACCCGGTGGGTAGTCTATATTCTCGAACTCTGCTCGGTGGATGTTACGTATGGTGTTGATCTGTGGGGACAAAAGTTTGCTTATCAAGTGAATACCAAAAGAAAACTAATTTTACTTATAGAATAAGGAATTTAAAAAAGCATCCTCTGCCCCCTCCTCTTTCTCTTCCTGTTTCCTTCTCCACTTTCTCCTCCTCCCGCCTCCTTCTCCTCCTTCTCCTCCTCCTCCTCCTCCTCCTCCTCCTCC